ACTTTTTTTTCCAGTATTTAGCAGTTTAGCTTTAGCAAAGCAATATTTTTAGTTTGGAAGCTAACATTTTAGTTAGCTTTGCCCTCCACTGATATACAGTTTTAGAACAGTTACGTGTAAATGTGGAACAAATAAAGTGCAGATAAAGAGAGTGAATTTGTCAAGCTTTTATTGATTTTTCCCCCCCTGCAAACACTCTTTTAGGAGAAGAAACATCAAGACAAATGAATCCAGCAGCTCCGATGGAGCGACAGCCTGTTTGATTAAGCAGACACTGCTTGTTTATGGATTTTTAACCAGAACTGAAAGGTTTATTTGCTGTTTATTTCTGTGGGTTTACTGAGAACAGCTGAAAAGCACTTCTATTCATAAAACAAACCCCATTAATGGCAGCTATGGATGCAGTTTAAGAGAGAAAGATATGTAAAATCATACCCAATTAAAATGACTGAAGATTTGATCTTCTCTCCCTGGGCATGAATCAATTATGTTAAATTTGAGGTGATTATCATTATAAATAAATCTTTTGAAAACAAGTTTTATATTATCGCAATGAGATGCTTGCAGTTYAGAAATAAATAAACTGAAAACCATWAGTGATGTTTCTGGGTGCAACAGCCATTAATGAGTAATCACATAAAGAAAAGTTATTCAGACGTGTTCCTTCAGAGGGAATATTTAACCAATAAAACATAATTTGGCTGTTTGTCTCAGATGTAATGCTACTCAGCACAAAGCTYTAAAAGCTGTTTTTTTTACGCAGGGCTTTTTGTAAGTAAAAGTGAACGAGTGCTCCCATTTCTTTTTTTTCTTATATATTTTCATGGGTGATTTTTGGAGCGATATTCTGCCCGTGTTACCACTCAAGTGTTTGTGTTTCTGAAGCTCTGGGATGAGTTGAGATCAGACCATAAACCAGGGCTATTGAACTGGGGGCCCGCGGGCCAGGCCCACTGGTGAKCAAAATCTGGRCCACYAACTGGTTCATTYAGTTCATTGGTTCTTAAGCCCAAACCCTCGGTTTTCTACTTTAATTACTWTAAGTCCTTAAAGTGGTAWACAGAAAAGTCAGAATCTTGGCCAGACAGAGGCCTCTTAAAGAGACAGAGGCCAATTTCAAGGCGTTCAGAAGAGGAAGTGATGAGAAGATAAATTTATTTTCTATTTAAACATAAAAACAGCATTTTAACAACAACTAAAGGTGACATAGATACTTTGTTATGGTATAGTATTTAAATATATGCCTGTGAAACACATAATATTGGCCCTTTAACACAGTGAAATATTTACTCAAGTTTCACTTTAAAAATGTTACACTTTGCATTTAAGAAACAAATTGAATGACTATAATTTACATTTAATAATTTCTGTTAACACGAGAAATGAGAAATGTGAGTAACGGGTATTGATAAACATGAGTAATAATTACTGATAAACGTGAGTAATGATTACTAATAAACATGAGTGCTGTAGAGTCAATTACTCAGAAACATTAGTTTTAAAATCTTAAGTTATTTAGTAATAAATAAGCTTGGATACAAGACTTTATGTAAAAGAGCTTGATTTGTTTAGTTTTTGATTTTGTAAAAACTAGTTATCCCGGTGTAATCACTTAACATAAATGGCTTTAGTAATGATTACTAATTTGGGTTTACAGATTTATAAAATAGCATTAATATAAACCATTTTGAAATATTTGAGGTTGCAGTTAATTATTGTTAATTTTGGCTCTCAGTCTGATCAGATTTAAACCCTTCTTTAAACTGAGGTCATTCTAAAAGCTAGCAGGTAAGATGCTTTTTGTTCATAAGCTGTTTCACAGAGCTCAACCTCAAAATGTGAACCACTCTTTATTTTTTTATCACAATGAAATTAATATTAGAACAAAACGTTCTGTTCATGTGAAGATAAACCTGCAGCCTAGATGTGTTCCCAGAGGCAGAGACACAACGTGTGTGTTGAATATCACGCAGCACAAGTGTATCTGTTGTCATCTGAACAGGAAATGAGACTGAAACTGCCCCGCAGCAACATGCTGCTCACAAATCACACTCCTACCTTTGCATGCTGTCAGTCATATCTGATGGTCGTCTGGGATAAAGAATAAAATACAGTTTTTCTATAGAGCTGTCGGGGCGTGTGTTTGTAAGAAATCTGAAAAGATCAATGGAATCTTTTTACACTGAGGCTGAATGTGTGTTTTTATGAACTCTGTTAAATATAAAGGAAAAACAGAAAAAAGTGTTGAACAACTGAGTTTTACTGAAGAGGCTGAAAATGAGAATAAACTAAAACAAGCTGAAAGAAAGCAAAGCAGAAAAAGGTCAAGCAAAAGCTAAATATGATTTTAAAAAGCTAGCTAAAAGAAGCAAAAGGATAGCTAAAAGCAAACATGGCAAAATGATCACCTAAAGGTAAAAATAAATGGTCTGAACTTATATTCATAAAGTCCTATCAGACTCCAAAACGCTTCAAACTACAGACATTCACCCATTCACTCTGATGATGGTGGTAAGCTACACTGTAGCCACAGCTGCCCTGTGGCACACTGACCATGTACCGGCACCACCGGACCCTCTGACCACCAGAAGGGTAAGGCGGGTGAAGTGTCTTGCCCAAGGACACAGTGACAGACAGAACGGGGGATAGAACCAGCATCCCACAAGTTACAGGACAACTCCCACAACCACCCTGTCACAGCCGCCCATAAAAATAACTAAATATCAACTTAAAGCTAAAAGGTAAGCAAAATGCAAAATATGAAAAAAAAAATAGCTGGTTAAAATTCACAAAATGTTAACTTGACACTATGGCTTGTTCAATGATAACAAAGACTATTCTATTCTATTCTATTCTATTCTATTCTATTCTATTCTATTC